TATGTGTATATATATATGTGTATATATATATATATATATATATATATATGTGTATATGTATATATATATATATATATATATATATATATATATATATATATATATATATATATATATATATATATATATATATATATATATATATATATAATATATATATAATATATATATAATATATATAATATATATAATATATATAATATATATAATATATATATAATATATATATAATATATATATAATATATATATAATATATATATGATATATATATAATATATATATAATATATATATATAATATATATAATATATATAATATATATAATATATATAATATATATAATATATATAATATATATAATATATATATATATATAATATATATAATATATATAATATATATAATATATATAATATATATAATATATATAATATATATAATATATATAATATATATAATATATATAATATATATAATATATATAATATATATAATATATATAATATATATAATATATATAATATATATAATATATATAATATATATAATATATATAATATATATAATATATATAATATATATGTCTATACATATATATGTATCTTTCTATCTTCCTTCCAATCTACCTACCAATCTATTTATTTATTTATCTATCTATCTATCTATCTATCTATCTATCTATCTATCTATCTATCTATCTATCTATCTATCTATCTATCTATCTATCTATCTATCTATCTATCTATCTACCTATCTATCTATCTATCTATCTACCTATCTATCTATCTATCTATCTATCTATCTATCTATCTATCTATCTATCTATCTAACCATCTATCTGTCCCCCTATGTTCCTAGTTATCTATCTTTTTATCTATGTATCTCCCTATCTTTCTACCTATCCGTCAATCTATCTTTCTATCTATTTATCAATATGTTTTTTACAGACACACTTACATGGATGCAGCTACTAAACTCCCCCGGTTTGATCAAAATTTCCTAAAAAGTGGGACCGTTTCTGTTGGGGGAGCTGAATTTTTAAATTTGGGAGGTGGGCATATTTCTCTAGCTATGCCCCTACAAATACTGTACCTATCTCTTAAACTGATCCGTGGAGCCAGTCATCTAATCCAGCTAATTTGAAATAAGATCTTGTTCTATGAGTGAAGATATGACACAAAAATCATTCTACCGTCTGTGACCAATATCAAAGCACTTGTGACAACTATAATAAATCTAAACAATAATGAGCAGTGAATGAGCAACTAATCTGGACCAGAGAAAAGCTGTGACCCTCTGAAACTGCCTTTTATTGCAGCTTTCTCAGTTTATAAATAATTAGTGAAAATATTAGTAATAATACAAATATGTAAAAGTGAGTTGTGAAGTAGTCTTACACAGAGTTTTGACAAAGTTTTTTTTTTTACACAAACATTTTTATAAAGAACCCTAATTTGGTGCAACAAAAGTGTCTTACAAAAAAATAACCAAACCTAAAAATATTTTAACATTTATATAAAACATGATAAATACCCATAAGGTATGCATGTAATCTTTACAACTACCCTGCAGATTCATCTTTCACAAATAGTATCTATAAGAAAATTCTGAACCTAATAAAATTAATACTTCTAAAAAGTAAAAATATATGGAAAATTGATAATAGCAATACCAGATTACATTCAGTAATCAAATAACAAACTTTTTACCATTTTTCTATTCTAAGACTAATGAATGAAATACCCTACTTGTTAAACTGAAATGTATGTATATTTAAACTTTTTTTTATATATCTCACTCCATTGTTTTTTGTCTTTTTTCACCTACATTTTCCCATTACAATGGGGTAGCCCTGTTATAAAGAAGATGGCCTTAATGTAGATCAATATCCAACCACATTTAACCCAAAGTCTATAGGGAAATGTTGTGTTCACTGTAGTACTGTTTTGTGAAATGTCTCTGCAAGTGCTTAGCAACAAAGGAGTCAATTAGCAGAGCTTGTGACCTTAACTGATTTCACTTTTTTTTTAATCTAATGCTATCAATATCAATGCTGTTATCTTAATTATAGAAGCTATAATTATGATAGTATTACTGACATTATGAACAGCATATTAGATACCAGAAAATATTTTTGAAAATCAAGGAAAAGGGTAAACAGGTGAGATAGGTAGTACTCATAACTGGCTCATTAACCCCTTAACGCCGGGTGACGCCAATCGGCGTGAAAACAAACCGCTCAAAAGCTGGCGTGCAGCTGTACGCTGCGGCGGCACGCCATAGCACAGCAAGCCAGTGATTCGGGCTGATGTCCCCTACTCATGCGCTCAAAGTCGGCGCGCCGCCTTTGTTTGCTAGAGTGTAGAGTTTTTTTGTTTTTTTTTTGTTTTGTACACCCGGCGCCATTGGGTTAATAACTTTGTACTTGTGGAGCCATCTATGTGTAAAGACCTTTAACCCAATTAGCATGGGTGGCAAGACTACAATGCCATGCCCACTGTCATAAAAGTTTATCTATTGTCTTTACACTTAGATGGCTCAACAAATGGAGTCAGCTATTAGTCATACCTATCTCAACTGTTTACCCTTTTCCTTGATTTTTTTTTTATCATTTCTATTATTTTATTTTCTTTGATGTTATTAATATCTTAATAACAATCTAATAATCATAATATCAATAAGAATGATAATGTCAATATTAATAGTATTAGAAAGAAAAACACATTTTCCTGCCAATTCAAGGAATAGAGAAATCAGGATCAGTCACTAGGGCCAACTGATAGACCCCTTGGTGGCTGAGCACACATGGAGCCACCTGTTTGTAACAAAACTCACAAAAATCTAAAGGGGACAGTACATAAACCTGCTAACATTAGGTTAATGAAATTAAAATGATTAATAAATTAAACTCACAGTGGGCATGGCATGCATGCACAGGTTAATGTAGCAAACCATTAAATAATGTACAGAATGATTATCTACTGTGCATACACAACACCAACAACTTTCCTTATATCTATTTACTTTGTGTTTTCTATTGTTTTTTAGTAAATCTATGTTTCTGAAAATATGTCTAACAACTGAATATCGTATCTTTCCTTAAACACCTATAATTTTCCCTATACATGTTGCCTATTAAATCTCAATTTATTAATTCTATTGTTTTTATTTTTTTATACCTTCTTTTTTATCTACTCCTCATTTTACCTCAATCTTTACAAAAAGGCTAACTGTGGCTTGGTTTATCGCAAGACACCAATAACTTAGAACCCAGTGCTGCAAAGTATAACTATTCTTTTCTTCAGTTGATTGTTACAACTGCCAAGAAAAAAAGATGCAAATAAATTAATTAACAACAAACAACCAAGGAAATACACAAACCCCCACCATAAATAAATACATATAAATATTCACTCTATAAGAGAATCAATATGATGAGCTAAAATCTTTAATGTATGTAAGTATACCATTTATACATGGTACTTTTATTGATATACAAGCATGTAGACTGTTAGTAGACAGCAAGAGACTACTTAAAACTTGCTTCAGTAAAACCTATTTTGAACTAAATTCACTAGTAAATCTGCCAATAAACAGTAAACAATGGCATTGTGTCATATGCAATTATCAGGTTTTTGCTTATAATATATCATTTTGATGTTTTAATCTCTTTTTCTTTCTTTCCTTTTTTGTTCTCTTGCTTTCTATCTTCATCAGTCTATTAGTCAGTATGTCAAGCTAAGTAGATTCTAAATGTGTCATTCCCCACTTCACTCACACAATCATTCACCCACTTCACACACTTAACAAGGAAGGAAAAAATAACAACAAACATACCCCTATGGACTGACAGAATTATATGCTTACAGAATAAACCTATTCATATATTGATTCTTATTATTAAAGATCTTTTTTGTTACATTTTGTATCTAAAACAAAAAGAATATCCTATATAATAACATCACAGACACTATGGTTGAAACTCAACTTACAAAACTATAACCTTAAGAGCATGTACATACACCTGGTTAAGGATGTACTAGCCTGTGGCTTACATCATTACAGTTTGAAACAATTTTTGGTTCTATATTGTCTTTACATCTCAAATGTCAACCTGGACTTGTTTTTGTTATTTTCAGATTCTTGTACTAAAATAATGGACATTTCAAACAGGAAACTTATTCTCTCCCTTAATCAACCTAATAAAAGTCTTGCATTCACCCTTTTCTAAAACTATACATGAACCTCAAGACGGAAGATTCTGCCAACCAGAATGTGGTGAGAATTTAAATTCCTGATTTCCTTACCATCTAAATGTGTTTAGAGTAAATAGTGCAATATAATGCAGAATCCATTTCCTATAGTCTTTGCACCTATGAAGTTTTAACTCTGGTTTTGTCTATTGGCAGACTTGTTCTAATAAACTTAAAACTCAGGGTAGGAGGAGCATTTTCCTTGTAGTTCCAACACTTCCTTCTGTACAATTTCATCCTGTAAAATAAAATTTTAAAATGCCATCATTCCCATATATACACATAATATATATAATTTAAATAGGTCTATTTGTAATTTTGTACAGTTCAAACTTCTCAAACTATCAATTCCCTCAAGTGAATATATAATCTGTTTACATTGGGTGACATGTCATTGTATCATGGCAAAAGATGACAGATGCCTAGTGAAACATCAGTTTCTGCTCCAATTGCCAGGCAGCTTGGCATGACACCTGGGGATATCATGATTGGGACACTTGAAAAAAAATTAAGACTGAGCACATTTTATAAGAGATTTTTTTGTTCAGTTAAAGTAGATTACATCTGGAAACATAAGACTAAGTAATATGTCATCATATTGAAATTGGTTCTAACATTCTAACTAATCCTTTCCAAGTTCCCACATTTCTCATGTGATCAAGGTGTGATATGATTGGTCAAGTGGGCACATAAAATCTAGAATCATTCAAGGGATAATCACTTCCTGTTTGACTCTATAGACACCATGCCACATTCTTGCAACAGCTCTTTGAGCTAATTCATGCAAATGATAAGACTGTACTGAAAATATCTTACAAGATACTAAGTGTACTCCCACATGAATGGGTTACTAAATTAATATATTGGAAGTCAATTCACAAATTTATGTACCACATAACCCATTATAGCAATAAAAGATTACTTACATCTGGTGTAATAAAAGGAGAGTCTGCTGCTTGCTTGAGCCAAGTAGAAGCCACAGAAAAATTCCCTAACTGTATGTTGCACTTTGCTATATAGAGGCGGTTTTCCTTCCAGCCCGTTGGTCTTAGCTCCTCTGCTGCCATGAAATGATGCAAGGCCTCACTGAATGTGGAGGAAGGGACATTCCCAAAAATGGTTTTTGCCACCTTTCTCTCTAGCCAGGTGAGCTGAGATACCTGAAATAGTTTTCAGCGTGATCATGACAGGCCAAAAAAAGTGAAAATTGTTACATGCCATTATAAGAAGAAATACTGCATACAGTCACCAAAAATGATTTTGTCAAATTCTTCAGCTATACTTATTAATAAATGAATAATATCTTTAACTGGCAAGAAACAAATACATTAATTGTCGTTTAGTTACATATCACATACAACATATATTATAGTTAAACATTCCTTATTCATCATACTGCTTTGCAATTATTTACATATGCTTTATATAGGAGGGAGAAATAATCCCAATAGCATAAATATTACCTGAATTAGATAAACACATTTACAATATAAAATAATACATTTCCAGAGTAAGCAATAAAGCAACTACTGAATTTTCAAACTATAACATTTCTTCTAATACAGTAACAGTACATCTAAATCTTTCCCCTCATACCATCCTATATCAATATCTTCCACATGCCCACCTCGAAACAGAAACGACCCAACAGATGATGCAAAGTCGAGTCCTTAGGGTTGATCTGCAGAGCTTTGTCAATGTGTTCTTTAAAGACATTTCCACTCTCAATGCGATCCTTCATCCCCATGTATTCCCCTCTTGCACCAGCCAAGATAGCATACCACTTGTGGACATCGGCACTATCTTGACACAACTGTAGTGCACATGCTGCATATTCAAAAGCTAGAAGAAAACATCAGTGAAATGAGGTAATGTAGTGAAAATGGACTATCATTATATACAAACATAATTTTTAAGTAACAAAGTTTAAAAGTGTTATTAAGACAACTGTGGCTTTTACTGAGAAAGAAATAACTGGGGACAATAATACCTTCATTAATGAATTGTTCCTTTTCTTCTGTAACACCAAGCTTTTCTTGAATCACTGCCATATTTCTTGTTGCCTTTGCTAGCCGCCAAAGAAATTCAGCATTTCTTGAATTCTGATTTAGTAAAAAGAAAATACCTTGCACTTACATTTTTAATTATTACATTTTTCATTTTATTTTTTAATAAACAAATACTCTGGCTTTTACAGTGTTAACTTTCTTACCATTTTTTTTTTTTTTTTTGAGAAAAAAAATGAAATACCAAAAAGCAAATGGACTGACTTTGCATATACCTACCTCATGTTCTTTATTCTTCAGCATAGTGTATGCTTCTGACTGATCTTCACTCCCCCCTTCTAGGAGTTGATCAATCTTGTGCAAGAAAAGCTGGAAATCTTCATCATCTTCCAGAGACACTGGGGATATTCGTTCGATGTCGGCAGGTGGTGCATAGGAGGAGTCTCCATATGAAATCAGCACTGAACTGATTGGCATTAACAATTAAAGTAAATGAATGAGAAAATATAGTAATCTGATATGAGAAATTACTATAATATGTATATCTATTTTCCTATAGTGTCCATGGTGCTGCAGTGGAACAATAAATCAAACTTAAAAATCTGTCTCTTGTACTTTTGTCTCAGCTTCCAGTTGAACCGAGTTATCTAATATTACTAAATCCTATTCAAGATATCTAAAAAAAAATAAAGAAGGAAAATTTGTGTAACTGCCTACCCATCTTCAGGTGAGAGATCAAAGAACTCGTCGTCATCTTCGTCTGGAGAAAAGTAGTCGGTATCAGTGGCTCGATTGTCACTGTCGTATTCGCGTGCAGTCTTGTAGCTGCCGGATGTCGTGCTACTGAAACTAACTGTCTTCTTGCGGAATGGGGATACCCGAGTCGCTGATACTTCTAACAATGAGAATGGCAGAGGTTTAAAAAGTGGATTTGTAACTTCATTCTGTAATACATATGATAAGAAAAAATGAAAAAGGTCATACTATCCTTCACCTGTGTTTTCTTTCTTGCTGACTACCGTAGCTAGCTCTAATCTTAACATCGTTCTTGTTATCAAAGTCATCTGACAGAATATACATGAAAAAGAAAACAGAGGTCACATTTCAAGTCAGTGTTCAGCAATTAAGTCAAAACATTGAATTTCTATTTATGTCTTCTTCCAAAGGCCACTTAAAAAGTAAATTCCTTAGATCACTTTCTGATTTTCATTGTACCTGGATATAAATGTAACTCAGTCTATGAATGCATGACTAAATATCATTAACCCAATGGTGCCAGGGAAAATTAACAAAAAATGGGGAAAATATTGTGCCCACTTTCTATGTTTTTCGTGAAATGTCTGCCAATAGATGGCTCTGCTAGCGCCTGATTTAAATGGCGGGAAAAACGTATTTCTCACTAGTGCTATGAGAATCGATGGTGTTATATTTATCATAAACATTATAATCTTTATAATTTTTTTTAACATTAGTAACAGCAAAATAAGATTACGTAAAATATTTTGTAAATCAAAGAAACGGGTAAACAGGCGAGACAGGCGGTGCTCATAACTGGCTCATTGAGGAGTTAGTACAAGTGTTGCCATCTATGCGTAAAAACAATCAAACAACTACTCACGGTGGGCATAGCACGTACGTACACGTTATACCCGGCACCAAGGGGTTAAAGAGTCTTTTCACAACCATCTGCACAATTTCCTGACTCTTTTGTGGATGGAGCCTTGGCAAGAAGCACAAACTGTTTAATTTCAATAAAAAGTCAAAGGTTTACCTTCCAAAACATCTTCCTGTGTAAGACCTAGAAACAGTTAAAATATATGATGATGATGATGTACAATTTTAAAGATTAATTTCCTGTTATATTACAATATATTATACAATCCTCACAGTCATACTGAAAACTACACAAATATCATTTTAAAAATAAAAAACCTCACCATCTTTATCAAAATTAAAATCCTTTTGCGTCAGACCTTAACAGAAAGAAATTCTGCTTAGTAATTATAATATAGAAAGTGCAATTAAAGATCTCTAATGTGTTAATAACTTGTATGTCAAAAGATCTATAAAAATTCATGAAACATTTTTCACTTTCCTTTTCACCTAAATAATAATGCCTTGACATTTAACTTACATCTATAAATAAATAAATAAATAAATAAATAAATACATATATATATATATATATATATATATATATATATATATATATATATATATATATATATATATACATATACATACACACACATATATATATATATACATATACATATATATACATATACATATACGTATACATATGCATATACATATATGTATACATATACATATATATACATATATATATACATACATATATATATATATATATACATACATGCATATATATGTATATGTATATGTATATGTATATGTATATGTATATATATATATATATATATATATATATATATATATATATATATATATATATATATATATATATATATATATATATATATACATATACATACATACATACATATATATATATACATATACATATATATACATATACATATACGTATACATATGCATATACATATATGTATACATATACATATACATACATATATAAATACATACATATATATACATACAAGCATATATATGTATATGTATATATATGTATATATATATATATATATATATATATATATATATATATATATATATATATATATATGTATATATATGTATATATATGTATATATATGTATATATATGTATATATATATATATATATATATATATATATATATATATATATATATATATATATATATATATATATATGTATGTATGTATGTATATATATATATATATATATATATATATATATATATATATATATATATATATATATATATATATATATATATATATATATATATGTATGTATATATATATAGCTACCTTACCAATTTCCTTTATACTTTTAGAAAAATTACTTTCAATCTGAAATCGCCTCATAAGGTCTTGATTTTATATAACAAATAAGATCAAAGTTGTATAAGAGGCATATGAAATTTTAAAAACTATGACATATGATCAATATCTTTTCTATATTGCCCTTCTAATTTCACACAGTACTAGGAAAAATATCTGAACATCCTAAATGTCCAATGACTCTAATATACCTCCAAGAGTTTGTGCACTCATAACAAGTCATCAGCCCTCTGCCAAATTTTTCATGGTGACACATTCCCGTCAGCCGTCCCTCAGCTAAATTTTTTATGAAGTGAAGGTCATGTCACATGGACCCAGTGGGATATCAAACCATCTGAATAAATCAATGCTATTTTTTATATTTTGGACCTATCCATAATCTTACTTTTCAAAAGATTAGATCTATTACAGTTTTTTTATGGCAAATGATATGACGTTCATTTAATGACAAGAGACATTAAGTAAAACAGGATTTTTCAAAACTGGCAATAATCAACTTTTCCCCTGTGCTCTGTCTTTACTGGTAACATATCCCGTATGCTTCTAAACTGCAATGCATTAAACACCTGTTCCAATTATCAGAAGTTTTGCTTTCATAATATCTTATAAAAAGATATAAGGCTACAAATGAAAACTTTATTAATCGAAATGAATATCCCTGAAATGACAATGAGCATTAAAAATCAGGCAAAGAAATGGTGTCAGAAAAAGTAGCACATAAAGGAGGCCTCATCATATGAAAAGGAAAACTCTATTATTCAAAATGATTCAAACTGAAATACCAATAGAAATTAATAATCAGGTGAAGAAGTGGTATCAGATAGGATACCATATAAAAGAAATTTCATCAAAACACCACATTTTTATGAATCTTGATAAAAATTATGAGTGAAAAAATGAGTCTTCACAACTGTAAAAGCCATTATACAGAGATATAAAGGCAATGTATAAACTATAGGTCCATAAGGCCTTTTTGAAAGAGTCCTGCATTTATTTACAGGTTTCAAAAAATTAATAAGATAACAAACATAAATCAGTAAGATAACCTCTGTACAATGTGAATATAACAAAAGTCCAATAAAATTTACCAGTTTCTAAAGACGCCAGATCCCTTCTGACTTGTAAGATGGTTTCGTGCAGGCTGGATATTTGTTGGGTGAGGTGAGTGTGTTCATTGACCCGATTTATGACGTAGGCCAACCCTGCCCCTACCACAACACCTGCACCCAAGGCAGTAGCAACAGCTACCTTTAGAGGAAACAAACAATAAAAAACATGTTATTCCAAAGTCTTTCATATGTGTATAAACTTTGTTAACTACATATTTCAGAATTATTTTCTTTTCCATTTCTCAATTGTCTGATGTACCTACCTTGGAGCTAACATTAAATGTAAATGATTTGCTCCCACTCATCTTGCTGTCCTATTCAGCATCCCTTCATTCTTTCCTTTAAAAGAATAAAAGAATGTTAATGCAATAATATAACACCACAGAAGAATAAATATCTTAACCAGAATCATATTTCTTTAATAATAGTTGTGATTTCTATCTTCTATTACCCTAACTTCACACAAAAAAGTAATCTTCATAATATATAATAATGATAATAGAAGTACAATTTCCAACTTCATAACATTGCATTACTCCATCTTAAGAATATCATTATAGATTATTAATCCACTAGAGACAATGCATTCCATCAAAATTCATCAATTCAAGCCAAAAAATTTGTGTCTAAATCAGCTAGGCAATTGCATTTTGAACTATGGCATACCTGAACCTGTGAAAAAAGCTTATCAAATCCATATTTGCTTTTGCAAAACAAGATGGATATAATACTAAAATACAAACATATGCATGTAAAATAGCCAGCTAGCATAAAGAATAACAAGGAAAATGCAGATACATAGTAAAGTTACAGGACATAAAAAATTCTATAAAACAGAGAGTGAAATTGTAAGTTGCTATTATACAAAAGCAACATATTAAGAAAAAGAGCACAATATCAAAATAGATATCAATAAATAAATGGCTGTTACTATTACCCATCAGGATATAAACTCCATATTAAGTTTTACTATATGCATGTATGAAGTTGTTCTCCCCTCCCACTCACTCACACTTACTCACTCACTCACTCACTCACTCTCTTTCTTTCTCTCTCTGCATTTGTCTGTCTGTCTGTCTGTCTGTCTGTCTGTCTGTCTGTATCTGTCTGTCTGTCTGTCTCTCTCTCAGTATCTCTCTCCCTCTGTGCCTCTCTCTCTCTCTCCCTCTGTCTCTATGTCTGTCTGTCTGTCTGTCTGTCTGTCTGTCTGTCTGTCTGTCTGTCTGTCTGTCTCTCTGTCTCTGTGTTTGTCTGTCTGTCTGTCTGTCTCTCTCTCTCTCTCAGTATCTCTCTCCCTCTGTGCCTGTCTCTCTCTCTCTCTCTCTCTCTCTCTCTCTCTCTCTCTCTCTCTCTCTGCATCTCTCTCTCTCTCTCTGCATCTCTCTCTCTCTTTCTGCATCTCTCTCTCTCTCTGCATCTCTCTCTCTCTCTCTGCATCTCTCTCTCTCTCTCTGCGTCTCTCTCTCTCTCCCTGCATCTCTCTCTCTCTCTGCATCTCTCTCTCTCTCTGCATCTCTCTCTCTCTCTGCATCTCTCTCTCTCTCTGCATCTCTCTCTCTCTCTGCATCTCTCTCTCTCTCTCTGCATCTCTCTCTCTCTCTGCATCTCTCTCTCTCTCTCTGCATCTCTCTCTCTCTCTGCATCTCTCTCTCTCTCTGCATCTCTCTCTCTCTCTGCATCTCTCTCACTCCCTGCGTCTCTCTCTCTCACTCTCTCTCCCTGCGTCTCTCTCTCCCTGCGTCTCTCTCTCTCACTCTCTCTCCCTGCGTCACTCTCTCTAACTCTCGCTCCCTGCGTGTCTCTCTCTAACTCTCGCTCCCTGTGTCTCTCTCTCCCTGCATCTCTCTCTCTCACTCTCTCTCCCTCACTCTAGCTCCCTGCATCTCTCTCTCTCACTCTCTCTCCCTGCGTCACTTTCTCTCACTCTCTCTCCCTGCGTCTCTCTCTCTCACTCTCTCTCCCTGCGTCTCTCTCTCTCTGCATCTCTCTCTCTCACTCTCTCTCCCTCACTCTAGCTCCCTGCATCTCTCTCTCACTTTCTCTCCCTGCGTCACTCTCTCTCACTCTCTCTCCCTGCATCTCTCTCTCTCACTCTCTCTCCCTGCGTCTTTCTCTCCCTGCATCTCTCTCTCTAACTCTCTCTCCCTGCGTCTCTCTCTCCCTGCGTCACTCTCTCTCACTCTCTCTCCCTGCGTCTCTCTCTCTCACTCTCCCTCCCTGCATCTCTCTCTCTCACTCTCTCTCCCTGCGTCTCTCTCTCACTCTCTCTCCCTGCATCTCTCTCTCTCACTCTAGCTCCCTGCATCTCTCTCTCACTCTCTCTCCTCTCACTCTCTCTCTCCTGCGTCTCTCTCACTCACTCTCTCTCTGCATCTCTCTCTCTCTCTCTCTCTCTCTCTCTCTCTCTCTCTCTCTCTCTCTCTCTCTCTCTCTCTCTCTCTCTCTCTCTCTCTCTCTCTCTCTCTCTCTCTCTCTCTCTCTGCATCTCTCTCTCTCTCTCTGCATCTCTCTCTCTCTCTGCATCTCTCTCTCTCTCTCTCTGCATCTCTCTCTCTCTCTGCATCTCTCTCTCTCTCTCTCTGCATCTCTCTCTCTCTCTCTCTCTCTCTCTCTCTCTGCATCTCTCTCTGCATCTCTCTCTCTCTCTGCGTCTCTCTCTCTCTCTCTCTCTCTCTCTCTCTCTCTCTCTCTCTCTCTCTCTCTCTCTCTCTCTCTCTCTCTCTCTCTGCATCTCTCTCTCTCTCTCTGCATCTCTCTCTCTCTCTCTCTGCATCTCTCTCTCTCTCTCTCTGCATCTCTCTCTCTCTCTCTGCATCTCTCTCTCTCTCTCTGCATCTCTCTCTCTCTCTCTCTCTGCATCTCTCTCTCTCTCTCTGCATCTCTCTCTCTCTCTCTGCATCTCTCTCTCTCTCTCTCTCTCTCTCTCTGCATCTCTCTCTCTCTCTCTGCATCTCTCTCTCTCTCTCTGCATCTCTCTCTCTCTCTCTGCATCTCTCTCTCTCTCTCTGCCTCTCTCTCTCTCTCTCTGCATCTCTCTCTCTCTCTCTGCATCTCTCTCTCTCTCTCTGCATCTCTCTCTCTCTCTCTGCATCTCTCTCTCTCTCTCTGCATCTCTCTCTCTCTCTCTGCATCTCTCTCTCTCTCTCTGCATCTCTCTCTCTCTCTCTGCATCTCTCTCTCTGCGTCTCTCTCTCTCTCTCTCTGCGTCTCTCTCTCTCTCTGCATCTCTCTCTCTGCATCTCTCTCTCTCACTCTCTCTCTCACTCACTCTCTCACTCACTCACTCTCTCTCTCACTCACTCTCTCTCTCACTCACTCACTCTCTCTCTCACTCTCTCTCTCACTCTCTCTCACTCTCAATACTATATTTACAAAAAAATGCAAAAAATTATATAGAATTAGACATTGCAACACTGTATAATAAATGTCAAATATAAAATTATTATTGCAATCATATTCAGCTATTTACAGTTAACCCATTGCCAACAGGCATGCCATGCTATGCCCACTGTGAGTTTACTTATTTAATTGTTTTTATAAATAGATGGCTACACTAGTACTAAGTCACCAATGAGCCAATTACGAGTACTGCCTGTCTCACCTGTTTACCATTTTCTTTAAATTACGGAAATATTTTACATTATCTGATTTTACTATTACTAATGTTCATAACATTATAGTATTTATAATGTTTATAATAAAAATAACAACATCAATTCATAACATTAGTAAAAAATTCATTTTTCTGCTAATTCAAGGAAAGGTGAAATCAGGCAAGGCAGAGCCATTTATGTGTAGAGACATTTCACAAAAAAATATAAAAAATGAACACAGCATTTTACCAATTTTTTATTCATTTTCCCTGGTGGCAATGGGTTAATACAGATTTTCTTGACTGAAGTTTGTATGGGATTTAGTCCTTTGAAATAATTCATATGAGGTTACAGTATACTGTAGTAAGATGTAGAATAACAGTTATACACCAACAGTTTAACCCATTGCCGCCGGGGATGGCATGTACATACATGTCATGCCCACTGTGAGTTGACTTGTTCGATTGTTTTTACACATAGATGTCTACACTTGTACTAAGTATCCAATGAGCCAATTACGAATACTGCCTGTCTTGCCCATTCTCCTTTTTCATCAATTTACGAAAATATTTAACATTATCCTAATTTGCTGTTAAAAATAACACCATCTATATCTATAGCACTCGAAAGAATACGTTTTTCCCCGCCAATTCAAGGAAAGGTGAAATCAGGACTAGCAGAGCCATCTATGGACAGACATATTTCACAAAAATATAAAAAATGAGTACTGCATTTCCCTCATTTTTTGTTCATTTTCCCCGGCGGCAATGGGTTAACCCAATGACGCCGGGTATACAAAAGAAAAAAAAAACTCTACGCTATAGCAAACAAAGGCGGCGCGCCGACTTTGAGCGCACGAGTACGGGATGTCAACCCGAATCACTGGCTCGCCGCGCTTTGGCGCGCCGCCGGCTCGTTTGACTGCACACCAGCTTTCGAGCGGTTTGTTTACACGCCTATTGGCGTCACCCGGCACCAATAATAGACAAACAATATATAAAGTTGGATTCTCATGCAAATAATATAATCAAATAATAAAAATAGACTTTTGGTTCTGAATGTTAAATATAATAGAAAAAGGAAAAAGTTATGACACATACACCATGTCAACAGCACAGAAACCTCTAACACAAATGATGTGACAGTTGCAGTGAAAGGGTTAACATAGAACAGTATGAAAAGAGATATCAACTATAAGAATAGGCTTTAAGACCTCATTTAAGACAATACAAACAATACTCATTATCACCATCATCATGACGATTCTAAACTGCCATTTACCTTGGTATTTCAACAGCAATGAACCAATATACTCACGTTATATATTCAGGAAACATTAATGGTTGGTCTGCCAATTTCATCCTGCCAAACACACGAGTGAAAGCGCAACGAACTATACACAAAATTATCATAATTAGTTTTGATGCCCATAGCTAATGATACGAGTATCTTATAATACATACGCGATTACATGCCCATGCTCACCTTACCGCCTCACCTCTAATACCGCAAAATGCCACATACCTAACCATCCTCGGGGTACTGTGTGGCCAACGCCAAGATAATGATCAAGAAAGAACAATCGCAAGTGAAGTTTTGACCTCACCACACAAGGAGGGGTTGCCCGTTCATTCCCCTTTACGCACTATTATTTTCGCCATTTGCATGAGGAAAAGCTCATGTCTTTTTCTCCTCGATGGTTCAAGTAAACCGTCGTACTACCGCTGTCTTACGATGATGAATCTCAAAGTTATAAATAATGAAATATAGAGTAAAAAGGGGGATTGACTGGGCTCTCACCTCTCTCGGACGGCTTCCCTCGAGAACAGCTGATCTCTGTCAACAAAACAACGATGCGTTCGGGTAAGGCGTAGTATGGTATCCGACTATTTTTATTCGGTGCACAGAGCATAAGCTGACTTCCGTTCGTGTAACTTACTGGAGTGGTATTTAAAGGAATTTGACAAATGCCTTGTAATATGCACGTAGAATAAATAGAAGAAAATATGTAACTAGAAAGCATTCAAGCTACCATCATAGCTCTAATCTATATATTAAAAATACATAAGTCTACCACATCTGTCTGTCTGTCTCTATAAGCATTAGTTTCCTGGGTCACGGGTAACATAAATTTTCATTACAGTTTGGACGTTATTTTTGTAGGATTCCACTAAAAATAGATGAATGCCATTTCTTCGATGTAAAAGACCATGAATACAAAATTATAGATTCACATTCTCTAGAAAATCATGAAATATAAATAGGAATAATTTGATCTAAAGGTCTAATTAGCCATATTATCTAACGAGTAATTGTCACTGTGGGGAAATCATAAAAATAAGTGATTATCTCTAAATCGATCTATCCATATGATCAGTTTCTTATTATGTGAAAGTTCTGAAAAATAACGAAAAAAATGAATTACGATTCACAAAACATACGAAGTTCACGAAGCAATGTAATATAAAATCTCCCCTTTCTCTCTCTCTCTCTCTCTCTCTCTCTCTCTCTCTCTCTCTCTCTCTCTCTCTCTCTCTCTCTCTCTCTCTCTCTCTCTCTCTCTGCATCTCTCTCTCTCTCTTTCCCATTGTGTTCATGCCTGTCTGTCGTCCTTTCTTTCCCTCTCTTATTTTTCTGGCCTGTGCCACCAGTCTGTCTGGCCGTGTCTTTGTTTCACAATCGCTATCTCTTTAAGGCATCTATTTATCTCTCTCTCTCTCTCTCTCTCTCTCTCTCTCTCTCTCTCTCTCTCTCTCTCTCTCTCTCTCTCTCTCTCTCTCTCTTTCTCTCTCTCTCTCTCTCTCTCTCTCTCTCTCTCTCTCTCTCTCTCTCTCTCTCTCTCTCTCAGTCTTTTCAGCTGGCTTTCTCCTCTCCCTCTAATCAGCTGATTAGGTCGGGATAGTTTCAAACAAGCGAAGTGTTGTCACGGAGGCTGTCATCGGTCAGCGAGATTCAGACGATACGAGAGAAGGAAGGTAGAGTCTGTGAAGAAAACGCACCCTTCCGAGTATCTCTTACAAAATGGTGTATTCGCGTCTGGGTACGGGAGTTGAAGTTGAGGCTTCGAGAAAGATTAAATTTACCGGTAAATTGCCTTTATATTCTAGTATATGTGATGTGATGTAACGATCTATGATTTACATGTCTTCATGTGGCCTATTATCCTCTCTCTCTCTCTCTCTCTCTCTCTCTCTCTCTCTCTCTCTCTCTCTCTCTCTCTCTCTCTCTCTCTTCTCTCTTCTCTCTCTCTCTCTCTCTCTCTCTCTCTCTCTCTCTCTCTCTCTCTGTCTGTCTGTCTCAGTCGTGGTGTATGTCTCGTAGAAGTAAGACGTGTTTTAGTGCTATCCTCAGTCGCGAGAGAGATCTTGAATCCTGCTTTTACCCGCCCCTCAGACAGGGAGCGGTTGAAGTGCCTCTGGCCCTCCATCAATTTGTCACCTCTTCCTAGTTGTCAGCGTGGCTAGTGTTGCCATACCGGGGTCCTCCCTTTCTGACGTTGAAATGAAGGATAAAAGTTTTACCTTGCAAAGACATGCTGCAACTGGATCCCTTAAGAGGGAAAGAAGTGAAGGACGTGTGGACATGAGTGATAATGAGAATGGATGCGAACAGGAGGAAAAGAGGAAGGAAGAGAGAACCGAATCAGGAAATCAGCATGTTCCCGATGCGCCATGAGTTTCCTGGGCCATGAAACTGGGCCGGGACCACCGTGATTTCGAGCTAATGAAGGAAGGCAGAGGGAGGTCGTATCTCACGGTACGGACAGGTTCCCCAATAAGGAGTCGCAGCACAAGGAAAAGGGCCGGCCACCACGCAGGCAGACGTGCGGAGGAAGGCTACGACTTCAGTCCCCAACGCCTGGCTGCAGGAATCACCGAGGGGAAATGATCAATCTTAGGACGAACGACAGGAAGTGAAGGAAGCGCCCCGGAAGTGAGATACGAATACTTCTGGGAAGGAAGTATTTGCAATTATCCAGATGATGCAGACAATGAGAGGATGGATGTTATTGAAAACAAAGTTGTGGATAAAGATGCCGAAGAACAGAAGAGGGGAGAGGAGGCTGTAAAAGAACCCCCCCCCCAAAGATACAGAAATGGAAAATAAAAATATTTGTAGTCCAGCTGAGTGTAGTGTAGATTGTAAAATAACTATTAAGGGAAAAAATAAATAAGAGCAAGTGTAGTGGAAGGAACATCCTCTGCGATCTTCAGGTCACTCCTGCCAAAGTGTAAAGACCACGAGTGGGCAAGCAATCAAAATAAGCTAGAAAAATACTAGGACACGATAAAGACCTGATGAAGACTTATCAAGATGAGGGTGGAAAACTATATCTACACAAATAAGTAAACCATTTGCCCTGAATACCTGTATTTTTTGTATTTTAAGTATTGTACAATTTCAATCTGTTCATATAGCTAAGTTCTGTATCTGAGATGAGCCCACACAGGGACTTATTAAGATAGGGGTGAGGATAACCTACGTTACCTCATGCTTTAGAAATGTAAGCTTCTGTCTCAATAAACTTGTCAAAGTTGAAAATCTCTCTCTCTTTATCTCTCTCTCTCTCTCTCTCTCTCTCTCTCTCTCTCTCTCTCTCTCTCTCTCTCTCTCTCTCTCTCTCTCTCTCTCTCTCTCTCTCTCTCCCCCTCTGTTCTCACCTAGTTGTGGCAATACGGGAGAAGAACTAAGCTTAGACGGGCCTGTCTGCTATATTTAAGTTATCATTTTTAAATTGAGGCAAATTTTTGGTATACACAACGTTATTTGGAAGATTGGTCCATGTTTCAATAGTTCTTTTTGGGAAACTGAACTTTTTTACCTCTTTCTCGCCTCGTTTTCCTTTCAACTTGTTGCTGTGTCCTCTCGTCCTTGTGTTCAAAATTATAAAGTCATTTGTCTAACTTCACCCTTCCTGCAATATAGTTGAACATCTTTAATATGTCACCTCTTTTTTCTTCTTTCTTCCAAAGTAGTAACACCTATTTTCTGTAGTCTTTCTTCGTAGCTCATATCTCATAGAGTGCCTATCTTATGGCTGCTCTTTGAACTCTTTCTAGTTGATCTATATCCTTTTTTTGAGTCTTATCATGTCTGTAATGACCTTCTTTACCACGTCTTCGTCCACATACACGAATACCCTCTTCATGTTGCAATCAGCTCTAGCATTTTATGAACCTTGTCATTTATATGATCATTTGGGTTTAGGTTCCTGTTTATGATTATTCCAAGGTCTTTTTATTTATCTGCTTGGTTTAATATTACGTCTGCTAACTTGTATTGGTATAGTGGACGATTGTTACTTTCTCCGAACCTGACTACATTGCATTTATTGGTGTTAAATTACATTTTCCATGTGCAACTCCAAATGAATAAGTTCTCGACATCACTTTTGAGACTTCGGCATGGGGCGTCGTCTGTTATCTTTTTGCAATTTCGCTTCGTCTGCAAACATATTCAGATAACTACATGGGTTTATGTTTGACCCTAAATCATTTATGAAAATAGTAAACACAATCGGCGCCAAGATCGATCCTTGAGGTACTCCGCCAGTTACTCGCCACCATGCAGAGTGCTTCCTTCTAATTACTGTCCTCATCTATCTTTCATGAAGAAAGTCTTCCATCCATTCGAGAAGTTGCCTGTCACTCCACTTAGGTGTTCTAATTTGCATAATAGTCTTTTATGGGATATCTTATCAAATGCCTTCTTAAAGTCTAAGTATACAAAATCCATCCAGCTGTCTCTTTCTTGTAGTATTTCAGAAACTCTACCATAGAAACCGAAGAGATTTGCTACGCATGAACTTCCTTCCCTAAAACAAAATTGTATATTTGATATATCGAACTTCAACTCACTGTTTCCTAATTATCGATTCTAACAGTTTGCATCCTACACTAGTTAGCGAAACTTGTCTATAATTTAGAGGGTTTTGTTTGTCGTCGTTCTTGTGTAAATGTGTAAAATTGACAAGTTTTCCGTCTCATTGATTTTTTTTGGAATATGAACAATAACGGAGTACATAATTAATTCCCTTAGAACCCAGTTAGTTATCTTATATGGTCCCTTTGCTTTAGTTTTGTCTAGCCTTTTCAGCCTTTATTTTTATTTTTTTAAATATTTTCGATATTCTGATTTACGTTTGTACGGTTACTTGCCATTTTAAAGTATGGGTCCTGAACAAACACTGACTGAAATTTCTCATTAAGGATTTCACATATTTCCTCTTCATTGACTTAAACGATGTTATTGTCTTTGATGGCGCTAATTTGATCTCTACTTTTAGTTGTACTATTTATGGAATTAGAGACGAGCTTTGTTTGGTAGATCCTTTTCAAAGTGCAATTTCGTCTCCCTCATGGTTTGTACTCAATGACACACACTGTACTCTCCGTGCGTGTGCGTCATTGACGTCCATGGTTCCCTGAAGGCCATGCCTTCTAAGTAGTAGGGCAATTAATCACCATACTCCTGTAGTGGCATGGCCTGTTACGGATGGCTAACCTGTAGCCTCGACCTGTAGAAATAAAACCGTGGCTATGGAATCCGGTCACGCACAAGCCACGCCCTTTGAATCTTGACCTCGGACCTGGACATCTCCACGTAAGTCAGATCTTAGGCCTCCGACTGCAGGACACAACCTCTCAAGTCACGCCCATTCACCCATCATCGACAATATTATAAGTTATTATAAGTTTATTTTCCAATATTATCTTCATACATATATAACTGCTATTGTTGTCTTTGCTATTTGACGATGCTACCCCGCTTCCAATAATATCAGTTTCTCTTACGAGCATTCTAATTTTGATAACAAGATAATAATTGTAATTTTCTTTTCCTGACATGACTAGCCGTATCATAGAGATAACTACGATTATTACTATGAGTGTTAAAAGCACTATTACTTAGACTTTGTACTCAGAGTCCTGAAATATATGCAATGCCAGCAATTACTGCTAGTTCTTATAGCTAGACATCTAGGGGCCTAGGATTAGGCTCAAAGGGACTCCCTTAAGTATGAAAAAAGTATGACAAGTTAAAACAGTTAATTACTCTTTCGACTACAGTAAGTCCTTTTTTCGCTTGTACAAAAACATTTTAAGCTGAACAGAAAATAAATCAAACTTCTTGTCTGAAAGTCTACATTAATTATACACTATTATGCACTCTAATGGAGAGCTTACTTTTGTAGCAAAATTATCTATATAGTAAAAAAATATAGTTCAATTTACTTGTTCATTTATTTTAGTTTTTTTTAATCGTGCTATTCCTTCCTAGCTACGCCACTGGTCCTTATGGCTGCACTGTTCCTTTCTAGAACAATAGTTATCAATGCAGCTATCGGCATGTTAGAAAGGGCATTTTCTTTGAAAATAAGGAACCGCTAAAATAAAAATGATTGCAATATTACCTTTTATTTTCAGTAATTTACAAAAGCATGTGAATCATATTTCTGTCACGGTAACAAATCCACTTAGCATGTTTGTTTCTTTCTTTATTTTCATACCTTTCTTCATCACAGTTTCTTTCTGGTTTCTTAAAGTTCTCCGATGTTTCCCGGATCACAGGTGTTATGAGACTCAGAACTCATCGGGCGAAAGGACGAAGATGACCTCACCCAATTGCTTCTTGTAGCCTTCGCGGACGATGTTCTTCGCCCACAGAGTGCAGACCACGTGTACGTCTTGATTGACTGAAAGAACACATGGCAGAGAAACTCAAAGAAAGGATGAATGAGTAAGCTTGTTGGCATATATCTCTACATTCATCTCTAATTTCATCGTGGTTGCACATATGTGCATACGTGTGCACACGCATCCATGCACACGCACGCATGCACACACGCACACATACACGTAATCAATTAAAGCTATCAAAATTATTATTGTAAATCATCAGTGCCCCTGATGATTACCTAATCATTCTCACAATATATATGTATATATATATATATATATATATATATATATATATATATATATACATATATATAATACCAATCCAAATTTATGACAGAACTTGGCAGTTATTATGCCAGTATGGCTAAATCAATTCATTAATCGCATGCATCATAAAGAATAAGAACATTAATGACTTCGAGAATCCTGTTTTACAACTCGAAACAATGATCCGAATCTTCACATACCGGTCAGGTTGCTGATCTTGAGGGCAACGAGGGGGGATAAATAGTCAGGCTTGTTGTCAAATGGAAAGTACACCTGATGAAAACCTCGCTCTGGGTAGTAATCTATTATACAGTCCCCTTTTACTGGCTTGCACGAGAGCCACGTGTACTGAAAAAAAGTTAAGTGAATAAATAAATGGCTTCGGCTGTTAGACATGGAGCGCTTAACTCGCGCTGGAAATTAAGACATTTTCATTCATTCTTGTGAAATACTTTTCATGTGATTTTTTTTGTTCTTTTCCATATCTCTGGAAATGCAGTTCAGATATTTCGTATTATGAATACTTACAGATGTGTCCTTTTTAGTGCCTTCTAAATTCTGAATATAGGTTCGTAGTTCCTCAGGTGCGTCGTCCGG